GTTTTTTCCTAAACTTTTACTTGATAAAGTTCATAGTTGACAAGAGCTTTTCACACATATAGGTATTCCCCAAAAAGGCACATGATCCGCTTGAACAACCTGGGAATCTCATTGAAGGTGGAGGGCAATGCTCTCAAAATTGTTTATGCTTGTCTGTTTTTGCATTCACCTCCCTGAAGTTATAATTGCATTCAAGATCAATTAGCTCCATTTGAAGCGGCAAGCGGTGGGGTGTATTTTCCAAATTAAAGGAGAAATTGACAGCAAAAAGTTTAAAAGTCGCGCTGTTTGTTTTGAAGTCTAAAAACATGTCATCGAATTCTTCCTCTAGCTTTGTAATGGCATCAGTATACTTACTACTGAAGGGTGTGCCCGAGTCCATACGTATTTTGCAAATTGGGAAATGGCAGAGGTTTTTTTTTTTTTTTAAATCATGCGCACAAATTTTGTGCAGAATGCCCTAACATTGCCATAGGCCACACTGACAAGCTACCCCTTGTCTTGTAACTTCTTGTTGAGTACATTCAGCTCCTGTGTAATGTCAAAAAGAAAAAAAACAAGTCCATGGACCGTTAGGGAATCACTTAGTACAGGAACTAACTTTTTAAATATTTTCTCAAAACCGCAATTCGGACATGTACATCTCATAAAATGCTATAAAATATAAACTTTCATTTCAATATTTCAACGGGTTTTACCTTTACCATTATAATTAACTTCCAAATCTATACAAACATTATAAAAATTAGAATTAGACTAGTCGGTAACATTCGACTAAAACCGTCGAGGAGGTTGACATTATCTACAAGAAAAGGGGTGTAAACATTAAACTTCGTGTCATCCAGCGGGCCGAAAAATATAGTCTTGTATATATATATATTACGCACTGGCTCCTAATATGAGAAATTAATCTCCTATTTTAATTTTATTGGCTCGTTGTATACAGTGCCTAACAAAGGACGATACCATAGAGTCAACAATATTAAAGATACGACACCCAAAACAGTTGCCTGTTACAATTAATTAAGATTTATTAAGTTGTAATACAATAACAAATCAAAAGAAATATAATTATAAATTATCAACTTACAGTATGGTAGATCTTGTACCGGTACACAGTTAATACAATGTGCCAATTAATAATGTTGAATGCGAAATAAACACATAAATACACAAATACACAATACACGTCTCGTGAAGTTAATAATTATCTATCTGAATCTCCGTCTCTCCGTCCGTGCCTGTCAATCCCTTATATAGGTCGCGTAAGCCCTGTCTTCCAGAAAAGACGTGTTGTTTACATTTCTAGGGTTATCGAGCACATTCGAGAAAATACCAGGCAGACAGTTTAACATGTTTAATTGGTAAACAAGGTTGTAAACAAGATACATCAAACGAATAGGCCACGCCCAAAACGGACGTTATTGTCTGCTAGGTCTAATTTAGGTCAAGTAAAGTTCACGCACGAAAAAAGTGTGATACATAATATATATATATATATATATATATATATATATATATATATGTATATATATATATATATGCATATATAAGAAAATCTTAACCCATCTCTATTTTGAAAATTATAATTTGACTTGTATAAAATAATTTGGTTTTTATATTCATGGGTAGAATTATGTAAATTTACCTATGTTTTGTAAACGTCATTGATTTTGTTAATAATTAAATTTTTATTTGTATTATGAGAATATAGCATCTATTTTCCACAACTGCGATATTGTTGGATTGAAAGATATCTTCATCAAAGTAAAAATGGACACTCCCGATTTCCTACCCCAGAGATATATGTAACTAAGAAGGTTAATTATTTATCATATGTATTGTGAGTCGTAAATCGTCCTGCGTTGGGCTAAATGAAAGTATCGTATCACTTCCACCCACAATCCTCCCCCCCAAAAAGGAGTTTTTAAACAAAATATTAAAATTATCCATTGGATTGTAACCCCTTAACTTATTCAAAAACGATTTTTTTGTGTGCATTTATATGCTTTGTTTTCATTTGGACAAATGATAAGTGCATTAGTGAATGCTATTTGGCTCTTTAGTTTCACTGCACAGATTGAATTAAACGGCACTTTCATAATAAAAGTATATTTAAATAGTACGTTTTTACTACTTTATAAATTGCATAAAGTATATTTTTAGAAAAAAAAATAAAAAGTAAAAAATTATTTAAAATTTAAAAGTAAAAGTTGTATTTAATTTTAGCAAACTTTAGTAATTTAGAAAGCAACCATCTTATTTTATTAATTTTACTAAAAGAAGCGAAAAATACATTGTCAACTTTTTCAAGCGCGGTTGTTAAATCATAGAGACTTACGAGTTTTAGCTAAAATAGGCGATTCGTGGTATGTTGTCATTTGGTTTTGTTTTTCACTAAATTAATTTTTATTTTATTTCGCAATATTAACACAGCACTTAAAACGCACTAAAAACAACTGATGTTTTGCTTTTCTAGATAAATTTGATTACTGTGCAATTCTTATATTATAATTTGTGTATTTCATTTTTTTCATAACTTTCAAACGCATATGCAATGCTTAAAATAGTTCCCTAGTTGATAGTTTAAATTTATTTGAAATTTATAACAATAATACTTAAACTTTACCAAATTAAAAGTTGTTTTTTTCTACTTTTACAGTGCCGTATGTTTTTGAAAGAATATTTAAAATTACTTTTTTCAACAAAAGTTTAGCTGTTTAATGCTGAACTTATTGTAGTAATTGCATGGTGTGTGTCATAAGTGATGAGATATCAGTGGTTATAAAGAATTTGTCAAGTTAAGAACTTAGTGTTAATTTTTTTATTCCTTTTTTTAATGATTTGCTTAACACCATTTCTTCAGCAAAAATCTCCTTGATCAATTTAATGAAGCTATGAAAAGGCTTCACTGTCTCTCAAAGTTGATTCATCTATTTGCCATACGATTTTTTGTTTTTTGTTTTTTACGCTTTTTCACAAGTTGTTTTTCCAAATGGTGTTCCTGTTCATCTATTTTTATTAAAACATTTTGTAGATAGTATTGTTACTGTGTGGCTTAGATATTAGTCTTTGTCATCTTTTTCTAAAATATCTTTTAAAAAATGCTGATTTTTATAATTTGATAAATTCTCTCCTACAGTATAATTTTCCCCAGATTTAGCAATGTATAGAACTCTCATAAGTAGTCTAAGAGTACAATCAAGAAACAGAGACTTTATTTTTGTTCGTTTTCCAAAATTTTCTTTAAAATTTGAAAGTAACGTAAATATGAAATATTATTACTATGATTGGCCTTCACATGCGTCTTAAGACGAATGGTTTTAAAATTCTTGAGGCAGGGCCGGCACTAGGGGATGGCGAAGTTAGCGTTGCGGTAGAATATTTATAATATACCTAACCCTACTAATGGTTCCTAATCCTGTCAACACAATAACCAGGGAAATTAATTGGAAATAGAAATTTCTGAAACTAAGCGAGTGAACAAATAATCATTATGACACGTTCCATTATGGCAAGCATGGCCCCATTACGACTATAGCGTGTCTATCCTATGGGATACATTACAAACGTCCGCATCTTATCTTTCACCAGAAACCCAAAAAATTAATGTATAAATATGCTTGCAAATCATGTAAAGGAGTTCTTATAAAGACTATAAAGGCTGAGACGTCTTTTGGAATTAAGTTCCAGACTACACTGACCAGTTCTCCGAAGGGATCAGATATGTGGATAATCACAAAATGAAAAGTTTAAGTGAGAGAAACTTAAGATTGTTTCTGCACGAACGTGCCATTAAAAAGACAATGGTAAAAACAAACTAATATCGAATTTTGGTAGAGAAAAAAAAAAGGTTTGCTCTTGTCATTTTTACAATGCGGAGGTATTTTAATATAAATAAATCCATTGAGGAAGTCATTGAAAAAGGGGGGGGGGGAGTGACACCACGAGTTTACCGCACCGGGTGACACCAACCTTAGCTACGCAATTGGTCTGAACACTTAGAGAAATTGGATTTACCGATATTATTAAAGTCAATTTTAAGTAACCTTAAACATATTGGGGTCTTCTTTTGATGAAAATATCAAATTATTTAATAAATAGAAGTTAAGGTATTGAGTAAAAAGGAGTAGTCGAAAAAAAATATATATTCATTTAAAATAAATATTTTTTTTGGAAGCCAAAGTTTAAGTAAATGTAACAAAATTTGTTTTAAAATTATTTCTATGAGATTTGACGCAAGACATTCAATCACTAGTTTACGTCATCTTGGTCAAACTTCACATGAGACATTTAAAAACTGGGAATACTTCATTACGCCCAAACTTCGCATCAAAATTCTACAACTGCCTTTACGTCATTACACCCACACTTCACATAAATAATAATGGAGCAGTGAAGATGAAAGTTACAATAAAAAGTACCGCAACTATTTCTGTAAAAATTAAAACTTATGTTGAAGTTAAAATTATGGCGGAACCAAACATATCTTTATATTTAAAAAAAAAAAAAAACATATAATAGTTTTTTCTTTAAATATTTTTGTTTTTTTTTTAAAAAGTACCGCAACTATTTCTATAAAAATTAAAACTTATGTTGAAGTTAAAATTATGGCGGAACCAAACATATCTTTATATTTAAAAAAAAAAAAAAAACGTATAATAGTTTTTGCCTTAAAGATTTGTGGTTTTTTTTCCAAATTCAAACAACTCCGATAACGCCACTTATATTTACAGGCAGTTTCATAAATAGAGTAATTCCTAGGTATAAGTCGTTAAATCAAAATGTAACAAATATATGTAGGGGAACCTACAAGTGATAAATATTAGTTTAGTATGAAAATTTATCATAAATTTACACTTTTTTAATGTATTATTTTTAAACTACTTACTGTTATATCTGTTGAATAACACATATCTGTTTACCAGCTGGTCGTTCGAGAACTTTACGCTCCAGGATGGTGAACGATCGTTTGTATGAGAACAACTTTTTCCGCTTTCCAAGTCTGTATTTCGGTTACCATCTACAGCTTTATCGGCCGGATAAGAATTTAAAGTACTTGATTGCATAGCTGTTTGTTTAAGTGCAACATTGCGCCCTGAAATAAGTTGTTACACTTTTAACTAAACAATTTCATTTGAGGCGCGAAAATTTTATAAACAGTCATCATTGCTAAAAATCATCAAAACAAAATATATTGGAATATGAAATGTTATATTTAAATGTATCAAAAATTGTATCAGCCTTGATCTTTAGGACCATTATTTTACAAAGTTACTCAGTATTCTTATAAAATTAAGAACTGTATCTGCTTCGCTCTCCTTTGTTGTTAACTTTAAACTATATCCCCTTTTTCATACAAGACCTGCACTTTGTTTCACCTATTTTAGGAGAATTAAATGAGTTGAATACAGGTGCGTGAGTTTTAAATCTTGCAACAATATGGTTCCAATGAATAATGTTTATCAGTGCATTTGTATGCTCTTAGTTTTTTTACACATACTTTAAATCATTATGAATAACAAATTGTCGTTGAAAAATATGTTTTCATACATAAAGATAGATTTAAATATATTTTCAAATATATCACTGAAAATAACAGAATTATAACTTCACTCTCTTAAATACGAACTATTCTCTCAATGATGCGCAAATTTCAAATGCCTCAGTAATTTTTTTTTTAACGACTATGAAGTTATAATGTAAGCTACATCATTCTTTTCAATTTAAGATTATGTTTTCCACAAAACAAAGGCAAGCCTAAAGCATTTAAAAATGTGTAAAGTCAACAAAATTATTATACAATATATAGAAATTGATGTTTTAAAAACTGTTTTAGTCCTTTGATTCTTTACCTCCACTGATACTTAGAGAACACAGAAAACCAACGTCTTTGCCTTTAAGTGTTAGTTGTTGAGTTGAGATCTGGCCATCGCAGAATAAATCCATCGTTCTTTCGTCGATGAGATATGTGTTGTTGCAAGTAAAAGGAGAGCCTTTAATATCATGTAACACCATCGTGATGTTATGTTTAAACTCTGCAAAAATATTAATGTTAGGTTACGCAGAGATGGATTCTGATGTTGTGCGTTTGTGCTACAGGGAGCATCTTTTAAAATATCTACTTTTTAAAGCTTTCTGGACCTTTGTTTGTTTGTTTGTATGTATGTATTTGAATTTGATTCTATTTAACGATAGTAACAAAAAGAAAAAATGGCAAACAAAATGATTTTGTTATGGCCTGTGTGTTTACAAACTTTTGCATTCAATCTAACATCCCCCTCCCTCATTTTCTTTTTGACATTGTCGTCACTATTTAAACGTGTAGCCACTATACATATTCAAATCCTTTATATTAATTTTGCTTTTGTTTGTGGCTGGTAAAATCTTCAAACGGCTATTTGAACTACTTTTCAACCTCCTATCAAGTTGAAACTTGGCACATAGACTCATTACCTATGACAACACATCCTATCTAATTTTAAGACCTACCCTCAAACCACTAAACGCCGTTTTCGTCTTTCTTAAGCTAATTTGAATAAAATATGATTTCACGAAAAAAATTCCCGATAACTGTGTTAAATGAGATTCTTTAAAAAAGTCGCAAGTGTGTTTTGTGCTTAATATTTTCTTTTATTGTTTCTAAAATTTTGAAATTATCATCTTGTGTAAAAGCTGGTGTGTCCTTAAAATATTAGTATCATTCAGGGGCGTAAAAAAACTTTTGCAGTTGTAAGTCTTGGTAGACTGGAAATAACTAATTGGGAGTCTTATAATGTGCGTTCCTTAATGATTTTTGTCAAATTTTCATCCTTCTCCCCACAATTGCTGTATATTACATTTTATAAAATTTATACGAAAAAAAAGTTTATTTTTAGGAGTTTTTTAATATTGTTTTCGCACTACCTCTAACGAAACCAATATCAGAGCAAGTTTCCTTAAATGATAATGTTTTAAAAATTTAGGTAGTAAATTTATAAAACTATAGTCTTACAATTAATATTGTCAGATTTGACTTTTAGTCTAGGCGTTAGATTAAATTTCTCGAAAAAATATTTTTCTATTGCAAAAAATTAGGAATAGAAGAACCTTATTCTATATTTTTTTTAATACTATGAGAGATATGATCATTGTCTACTTAGTAGATGATGATCTATTGTTTGAGGATGATGTGGCCTCAGTCAATGTGTAAAATGATTCTAATGTAGACTACAATTAAGGCTGAAGCAAATGGACCTAGAAGCTTTATAGAGAGAAGAAAGTGAGCTCATGCAAATGTAGCTAGCTTTTAAAGAGGGAAAGGTTAAATAATAAAAAAAATTAGAAATTTTAATAATAAGTAACCACAGTACAATGAAAAATGAACCATACAATACCACCAGTCAGGACTATAACATAATGAAAATTTAAAATTTGATCTGAAAATTTGCATATGAGCATAATACCTGAATTTGATCACTTTGAAATAATAGAAGAACACTGTAACATACCATACAATGTTTAGTCTTCATTTTTAAGCCTAATTTGACTGGTCGGGCATCAGTAGTTCTATGTCCTTGGACTTTGAAAAGCGTGGTAACTATAATCAAGTAAAATATTTTTTTAAAAATTGCTTAGTAATGTATCCTAGAGGCATACCCTAAAACGTTAATGTAGCTGTTGAAACGTGATTGGCAAACTCATGTCGAGTTTTAAGAGTATTGGACGTAAAAAAAGCTTTCCAGTAGATTAATTGGGCACAAAAAATGCGTGTACATAAAGCAATATAAGTTCTGCTTTAATTATGATCATGCATATTACAAATGTAAATCTTGCGGAAAATACTTTTTATGTAAAAAAATCATGTAAGCATAAATTGAATTACATATTGAATATGTGCATGCATCCAAAACAAAAAAAAATTAAGAAAAGAATTAAGGGTGGGCATGTCTACGATAAAATAAATGACTGCTGGAAAAAGGGCTTCACACACACTCAAAAACAAAACATAGACAGACTTCGATCAATTCATAAACCTCGAACTGATGGAGGAGTCTTAGAATTTTGTTTGTGAGGTCGATCGAACAACCATTGCAGAAAATAAAAAGGATTATCTGTATACGGTGGAAATATCAAGTTTTAGCACATCTTAGAAAATATCAAAGAAGTCCGAAACCAAAATAAAATCAAATGTAATGTGTTTTCTTTTGTAAAAGGAACGCCATTTAAGTATGATTTTCTGCAACTCAAGAAGAATATGCGAAGACTGAACACCCTGTTGCATCACAGAATGTTTCCACTTGCACTTATCGTTCCAGAACTAAACATATATTTTCAAAATACAAAATTGTTTGCTCTTCTCCAAATATCTATATGAACTTCACAGAGGTTCGTCATGACTTATCAAATGTTTTTATTCTAAACAGTAAGTGTTGTTATATCGCCTCCAGTCATAATCCTGCTTAGAATGCGAGTTTATAAGCTTATTATCAAGAAATTGGTGCTCCAAAAAGAGGTCTAGTTCCATATGGCGTTCTACAAAGAACTTGAGTGACAGTTTTGATGACCCTACCTAGAGTTTTACTTCTTCTACCTTAGCCATATGCTCTCAAGACTCCGATTAAAAAAAATCCTATCTGCCCAAATTTTAACATCATAATGACTTGCATATCGGAAGTATCTGTGTCACTGATAAGTGATATTTTATTCTACCACATATAAAGATTTTCCGAAACACAGGACCATCACAGTCCTCAATACTTGGGAGTACAGTCTATTTCTCTGAATCTATAGCTATCGGAAGCAACATCCTGTTACGAGGTGTAGAAATGGGTTTATTGATGTACTTTAACACATTATCGATTTTAAGTCTGATCTAGTCTCCGGACCTGTAGTTGTGACTTTCTAAACAACCTTACCATTTGACGGTACCTCGTTGCTTTTACGAAATGAATATGCTGGTGGGGAGGTTACAGCCCCACATTTATTCATGAAACTTGTTTAGCTAAATATCAACATGAAGATCAAGAGTTATGTTCAGCATGTGCTTTTGGGTCATCAGTTCAAATATAGATTACTCTAAATGTTAAAAAATACTCAATCCTGAAAATGATCTCGAAAAAACATTTTCAAATTCTCAAAGAAGAGTAAAATAATCACAAGATAAAACTAATGCCAATTATCAAACAGAAAAAATAGTGCTAGACATCGAGTAAGTTCCTTGAATCAATAAGAAGTTGAAAATGCCAACTGTTTTATTTTAAAACGTATACGATGAAATGCTTTTGAAAAAATTGCCGCCTTCAGATGAAGGAACTGACGAAGAATGGAGGTTAATTCCTCAAGCTATCAAACAAGCTCTACAACTTAAAACTTAATGCCACTTTTATATGACCATTTAAAAATAAATTATTATGAGTTTTCTAAAAAGTTGAGAATTGGTGTCGAAGATTTAAAAATATATTTCTCTGATAATAGCCAAAGATATACACAAAAGCATAAGCTAAATTGCAATTTTCGATGTAATCGTATCATCTAGGTATAGCTCGGTAAGCTACCATTAAAACCCCTTTAAAAATATCGGTTGATATTAATTTGATAGTTTAAGAGCGATTCAGAAATTAGATACAATTTTAATATACCAACATCCGTAGAAGATTCAGATGTTTAAAATGGTAAATATATATTATTATTTGTTTATTTTTAACTAAGAACAAAGATTTGCACATTTTAGAAAATATTTTTACATTTAATGTTTAATGACTAAAAATGGTTGTATTTGACTTTATTATTTAGAAAAATTAAAATTCTTTAAGCTCAATGATGAGAGAAACGTAAAAATCAATATACAGCTTTTCTTAAAAAACAATGGAAATCTAATTTACTATTTTCTAGATACAATTTCAAGGGATTTGTGTTGTCCTTTTTAAAGTTTATTATACTATACATTCAGGCTTGAGCTAGTTAAATACCAAAAAAATGAATTTAAAGATCTTGTTACTTTGGAGGAACTGGTGGATTGTAGCGCAATACACCTTCCATTAGTAAGTCGTTTACAATGGTTCATACAGTTTGATTATTGCTAAAACAATTCCATATGCAAAACAATGGAACAAAATCTTTATGGCAAGCGAGCACAAATCTGAATTTTTATCGAGCGAGGTATCAACGTAATCATACTAATAAATAATTTTAATGTGTAAAAAATAGTTGGCAAATTCTATTGAAAAAATATTAATTTTAAGCAAAACTAGCCAATAAGCTTAAAATTTAAGTAGTCCTTTATTTATTGCAAGCCTTTTTCAGAGCAAATTTAAATGACTAGTTCTAAAATATTGTGTAAATATATATAAATATATATATATATATATTATACATACATGTCTATATATATATATATATATATATATATTTTATATATATATATATATATACAATATCGAAAGAGCGTATATATATATATATATATATATATATAATATATATATATATATATATATATATATATATATATATATTTTATATATATATATATATATATATATATATATATATATATATATATATATATATATATATATATATATATATATATATATGATACATACATGTACAATGTACATATGTATATATGTGTGTGTTAGCTTAAATAATGTTTATTTCTTTTTCGTCTTAATGTTTATTTATATAGAAAATGTTAAATATCTACCATTGTTGTTTACAGTCACTCTCAGCCACGTTATAGTGTAACTAGAGTTCAAGTTAATGGTTAATTCTTCTATATTTTCTTTCAAACAGTTCTTATCATCTCGGTCTTTAAGGGTAGACAGGTCAGTTGTTGGTATTGTTGATGTCACGGCAAAGGAAAATAAGTCCTCTGCAACAAACATTTAAATTAAGCATGATTACTCGTGACAATAGAAATATCAGTTTTGCCATTTAAAGGCAATACGTTTTATCACAACAAATGTCAATGTAAGACAAAAAACACTTTCCATTTTTTTGCACCTCCTATAACATTGATTCTTGAATATTTCTCACGGGAATCTTCTTGCAAAATATGT